TCAATGCATGCTTGTCATATGAATTCGGACTAGGAATAGGATCGTCTCGTGGCAATCATAGGTTTATTATATCTTGGGAAAGAATAGTAAATAAAAGTGGAATTATCGATCGTCACAATTGCATGAATTGAATTAATTATTACTGGTTGAGAATTAAAACTAAGAATTGATTAGTGGAGTCGGAAATCCAATACACTCTCCCTCATTTGATTTAAATCCAATTTTTAATTGCTTTCGTAGTTATAGAACGTAGTTAAATTCAAACCAACTATATTTTGTTACACTTGGGAATTTGAATATATCGAATACTCTAAAATTGAGCCTTATTCCCTGTGGGACAATAACTTACTCATCACAATTATTACTTGTACAACAAACTCGTACGCTTGCGAGATTTTCGCCTAACAATGACTATGCATTGTTTTTGGCCTCTCTGTATGATGTGCACATTCAGGTAGGAGAGGACGACTGTAGCAGGTGGAGGGCGGCACGGAATGGTTTGTTCTCTATTCGTACTTATTTCAGATCATTATTGGAACCTATTGAGAGTTCATTCCCTTGGCAGAGGATCTGGCAAAGTAAATTACCTCGAAGAGTGGCTTTTTTACTGTGGACGGTGGTGAGGGGACAGGTGTTAACAACTAATAATCTTCGAAGAAAGGGCTATTGTATTACGGAGTGATGCTATATGTGTAAGAGGAATGGAGAGACGATCGATCATTTGTTCATTCATTGTGACGGTGTTCGTTGGATGTGGAATGATATTCTGGCTTCGCAACATTTAAGTTGGGTGTTGCCAAGGAGTACCAAGGAGGTGGTGTGTGCATGGAAGAGAAAGTTTCGAGATACGAATAGCAAGCTTGTTTGGGATCTCATTCCAGGATGCATCGTTTGGTGTGTGTGGAGAGAATGAAACGAAACGACAGATGCTTTGAAGACCAAATACGGACGACAGAGCAATTTAGGGAATTGTTTTACTTGACTTTGTATAGTTGGTTTAAGGTTGCAACCATTAGTCCGATAGAAGGGTTGCCGAATTTTTTATCGTTTCTTTCTTGTTTAAACTGATAATGCACTCCTTGTATATTATCTTTTGCTTTTGATTTATAAAATTACGTGATTACCTATCAAAAAAAAGTAAAGACAAATAACCTAAAATAACAGATATCAAACAACAGAGCAAAATGCATTCCTGCAAATATGTAACTAGCCAATCCTTTGACAAAACACTAGTTAAAACATTTCTTGTCCTTTGCTATGCAAAATGAAAATAGCAGAAACAACAAATCACATAACAGAACTCAAACACTGATACAAAGATGTAACAGATCAAGATCTTTCTAACATAACATAGGCAGCATTTCCACAAAGTTTTCTACAGAAACTCCAATGCATTTCATCTATAACAAACATAAAGAGACTTACGAGCAAAATGAGGGCCTCTTTCGCTGCACGCAAAATAGAAGTTTGAAAACTTCGATCTCCATATATCAATTGGAGCACGATTACCCTTATCCTAGAGTACAGGAACAACAAGAGTTTCATGAGTTCGAAATTTTGTCATAGATTTTTTTCCTATAGTTGGTTAAAACTTTGCAGATTGACGTAACTGAATTCTCAACAGTACACATGATGCAACTAATAAGAGATTGAGATATGCAGATAACAATATCCAATTATCCTGGCCAACAAGAATGCAATTAATAATATCCCAATGGAAATGAAGTGCAGATCTATTAATTCTCTTGGAGAAAATAACTGTTGCAGTCCAATAGCGTATGATGATATCTGATGTCTATTTGCTTACAATAAATAAACGCACTTTTGCATTTTTCATTTGTAATAGAATTCCATAAGATGAGGCAGCATTAGGTCAACTATGCTAAATAGGAGAATGTACCACATATCCACAAGTCTAAGTTGTCACAAGCCATCAACATCCTACAACCAGGAATTTTAAGAGCTAAATCAACTCCAATACAGAAACCTGTCGGTCTACATCCATTAGTTCTATCATTGAACAACTATCGGGAGCCATCTGAAAGAACTTAAGTCGTGAAAGACTTCTCCTGCACAAATTGAATATCTAACCTCCACCACTGGCCTCACAAAATGATATACACTTCCATAAAATACAATCTGCATAAATACAGTTTCCAACACAAGTTCTTCAAAACAGAATATTACAAAAGAGACAATATCACTCCAACGGATAAATAATGAACAAACAAATGACAAGACCACTTAAAGACAATATCACTCCAACAAATAAATAATGAACAAACAAATTACCAGATCACACCGAAAATCACCACGCCCAACCCAATAAAAGAAAAAGAAGACTTGAAAACAAAAAAATGAGCATACAGGTCATGTAAAACGAAGAATGTGCATGTAGTATTCCTCTCGTTAATGTATATTTCTACCATGTACATGGTTGTTGACGGCCAGCATAAAATTTTGTTAAATAGTTATATGAAACCTTAAACTGATTTTATTAGGACATTTCCTACTAGCAACCTGCTGATATCGGATCCCAGGTGTAGTGACAATTGGGGCAGAGGTTATAAAGGCACACCTCATAAGCAACTTGGGACTTTGGCACCCCAAGAGTACATAAAAATAAGCAAGGTTCCTACAATCTATTGGACAGAGTTGGGTAAATAAGCCAGTCCAAGATAACAGAATTAGGAGAGGAACGTGTAATATAGAAACATTTAACAAAAAAAATCCTTATAATTAGTAGATGTGATGCGCATGAGGAAACGTTGTAAAAGTTAAATGAGCTGGGGATAAGAAAATTAAGCCCTATTTGGTGACCTTTTTTTTTTTTGAAAAAACATTGTTTTGAATACTGAATTTTTGGAGAATGTATGGTTAAAAAATAGAATAATTTTTAGGTTTACGCGTAGAATATTTTATTGTGTGAATGTATGCTTGAAAATGAGTATCTAAAAAAAAGAGTTTTGAGAATGGGAGACAAACGGGAGCTAAATTTCTTGGAAACATTTTGGGGAATACATGGATGGTTTGACTGAGGCAATCCTCAGTTAAGATGAGATTTCGTAGGGAGAGATTGAATGTTCAACTAGAAATGTAACTCAAGATACAAAAGATGGGAATTTTTGGATTTATAGATCAAAATGAAGGTAATATTATTTTGTATATTTTAGTTAGCTAATGATTTGGTGTTAGTTAAATCCACGCTTCAAAAAGAGACCCATTTTATAACTTTTGGAAATGGGCTAAAGTTTTAGTCAAATAAATTTCCAGAATTGGAAGGTGGATAGATAAGTGCAAGGGTTTGCACGGTAGGTGAGCATAACTACTACGCAAGATGGATGTACTTGACGTTGTTATTAAGAAATGGAGAAAAAAAATAAGAAACAATTTCAGGTTTACCTAACAATATGGTGAAACCTATACAGTGGAATAACAAGTGAATGTTAACAATAGAGTTTCAAGAGCAAAATGGAATCCATGATGCCAAATGAGATGGCTAGTTGCATTAGAAACATAGAGAGAGGTTTTATGAGAACTTAAGCGTGTAAAACAACCTAATAAGGAAACATGGTCGCAAAATGAGAAGGTCCAAATGGCACTGGAAGACTGAAAGAGAATGCTACAGAAACTAAAAGGAAAAAATGCGGAGGTTTTGAGAAGTTTAAGATAGCTAAATAAGAAACCAAGAGGAAGATTTGAAAGTCCCATGCAAAAGAATATTATATGCTGTATAGCTATCTTGAAACCAGGGACAACAGGAAACTATGAAAAAGTTATCTCGACAGTTGAAAAAAGGAAGTAGAGATCTAAAGAACGTTAAGTGCATTAAAGATGAGAACCTAACAGTATTGTTTCATAGCAATGAGATCACAAAAAGACAAGAATTATTTGGACATATCATTTATTGAAGGCATAGACTAATTGGAATTTATCAACTCCATACCGAACAAGAAGATAATTTATACTAGAAGAATTCAATATCCAAAGATGAGGGAGGCTACGACCCTTGGCCTCATGGAATTCCCATTGAACTGTGGAAGTGCTTGTGTTACAAAATGTATGTTCGACAAAATTGTTAAGTGAGAGATCATACAAAATAAAAAGGAGGACAAACAATGGAAAAGTGTTGGGTGCCTATTTATAAGAATAAATGAGATAATTCAAAATGTATGAATTAAATAGGTATTGAGCTTATGAATTACAAATTTAAGGAGGCCTAGTTTTTTCTTGTTATTGCTCTACATGGTTGTTGTCGCTGTCTTGGATCACTTTTGTTATTACAGGTAAAACCGTAATAGCAACTATCAAGCTTTATGGGTTATATTGAAAGCTCAGTTAATTCTACTCATGACAAATATACTCTTGGGAAATACTTCCAGAATACTGGTTTTCTTTTCTTCATTTTTTAAATGTGTTCGATTTCTTATATAGCCCAAGATAGCCGCATTGAATGTGTCCAAAAAGGGTAATCTAAAGGTGGTCTCACAGTACGAATTTAATAGTGTGCAAATTTTTTATAGAATTATCTGAATACCTCTCAATTGAGAGTTTCTTCTCATTAAATAGAAGCTTATTTCCTAATTACAGCCCCTAATTACAACGTAATTGGTGCAGAAGCGTTATGAAATTGTTATAATAAGAATTGAAAATTAGAATTATATTGGAATAATCTTGTTTTGTATTGATATATGATTTATTGATGAAAAAGTGTACAATGCCCCTATATTTATAGGCAAAATTATCTCTAATCCTATTAATAAAAGGAAACTAAATTCTAAAAGGAAATAAACTAATTCTAATCTAAATAAGATTTAAGAATAAATCTATTACAACTAGAAAAAAATTAGAAAAGATAATTTAAAACAAACTCCTAGATAAAGTGAAACTATTAATTGTAGTTGTAATGTATTACATCAATCCCCTCCACTTGAATAAAACTCACCCTTGAATTTTTTATGTGCAAGAAAAACTCATCTGGAAGAAAGTACTAGAAGATATCAGAAACATTGAAAGTACAACTAGAAAAGATAAATCACGATTGTAGTAGAAAACTATTGATCATAATTATGTACTACATCAGTAATTATTCTCCATCAAATCTCTCAATTACATCCCTTTCCTTATTACAACCTAATCATCTTCTGTAATCTCTCTTATATAAGAAAATATATATTATTCTATATTTACAATATAACAACGTACATACATTGACATGCCCCGTCAAATTGATACTGGTCGATCAAAAAGCATCAAATTTTCAATCATGAAGTAATGTTAAAGACGACCGAGAGCCTTGGTAAATATGTCAGCGGTCTGAAGATCTGTAGAATGTGAGGAAGTGTAATCACTTGTTGGTCGAATGCTTCTCGAATGGAGTGACAATCGACCTCAATATGTTTGGTCCGCTCATGAAATATCGGATAAGCAGCAATCTGAACAGCGCTTGTGTTGTCAACATGAACACAAGTAAAAGCTGATGAAAACCAAGTTCACCCAGTAGGCCCCTAAGCCACACAATCTCAGAGCAAGCGGAGGGCATTGCTCAATATGCATATTCAGTAGAAGAATTCAAAACACGATCTTACTTCTTACTATTCCAAGAGATAAGAGCATCGCCAAGAAACATGTACCAACCAGTAATCAACCTTCGAGTATCCGCGCAGCCAGCCCAATCAGCATTAGTAAAACCAATCAACTATAGAGAAGTCCCAATAGAAAGAGTAATCATTGACCAGATGTACCCTTTAGATAACGAAAGATACAACGTACAACAGTAAGATGAGAATGTCGAAGGCCTGTATAAACTAACTTCCTAGACTACAAAAGAGAGATCAGGCCTTGTAATCGTCAAATAGTTCAAACTTCCTAACAACTTTCGATATAGCAAAGGATTGGCTAAAAGATCTCCTTCTCGGTAAAGCTTCAAATTGACCTCCATAGGTGTGAGAACTGAGTTGCTTGACTCAAGTCCAGTAGAAGAAATTATATCATGTGTATATTTATGTTGGTGTAACAAATGTGCCCTTAGAAGTGGAAAGCACCTCAAGGTCAAGAAAATGCCACAACAGACCAAGATCTTTTTTCATGTAAAAAGAAGTTCGAAGATGTTGCTACACTTCCTCAATTAAATGCGAATCAGATCCTGTAATAATAATGTCATCCACATACACAAGAACAACAATTCCAATAGCAGCCTTTCTATGGAAGAGAGAGTCAAATTGACTCTCGAAAAAATTAAAATCAAGGAGAGGTGCAAAATTTCTCAAACCAGGCCCGCGGTGCTTGATTTAACCTATATAATTTCAAACGGCGGACTTCAGAGGAGGAATGTATGAACATGCCAGAAGAATGAGTCATGTATACTTCTTTCAGTTCCTATGTAGAAAAGCATTCTTGACATCCATTTGTCGAAAAGACCATTCTTGGGATGCAGCGATGGCAATGATAGTACATACTGTAGTCATCTTAGCTACTGGTGCAAACATCTCCTCAAAGTCAATGCCATATTCTTGT